TAAGGCTCCAGGAATAGATGGTATACCAATTGACATATTTCAGCTAACAGATGCTTCCCTAGATGTGCTCACCAAGTTGTGCCAAGAAATCTGGAGAACAACCACTTGGCCAACTGACTGGAAGATATCTATATTTGCCCCCATCCCAAAGAAGGGTGACCCAACAGAGTGTGGAAACTATAGAACAATATCATTGATTGCACATGCAAGCACGTTTCTACTGAGGATTATCCAAAAACGACTGGAACAGCACATCAGCAGAGAACTACCAGAAGTCCAGGCTGGGTTTAGAAGGGGTCATGGAACTAGGGATATTGTACCTAATGTTAGATGGTTCTTAGTTGAAAGCAGGGAGTACCAGAGGAATGTCAGTGTTCCATTGACTATGCAAAGGCATTTATGTGGATCATAACAAACTGTGGCTGACTCTGAGAAGAATGGGAATCCCAGAACACTTGATCGTCTTAATGAGAAACCTATACTTGGACCAAGAGGCAGTCGTCAGAACAGAGCAAGGAAACACTGCATGGTTCAAAATTGGGAAGGGCTCACGCCAGGGATGTGTCCTGTCTCCATACGTTTTCAACCTCTGTGCAGAAAAGATTATCCGGGAGACTGGGCTCTGTGAGGAGAAATGTGGAGTCAGGATCGGTGGAAGATCTATCAACAATCTGCATTATGCAGATGACACAACCCTGCTTGCTGACACTGAGGAGGACCTGAAGCACCTGCTGCAGAGTTTCAAGGGCTACAGCATCCAGTATGGATTGAGGCTCAATGTCAAGAAGACAAAGATTCTCACCACTGGACCAAATGACAGCATCAGGATGGATGGTGAAGAGATTGAGATTGTTCACAGCTTTAGTTTGCTTGACTCCACATTCAACACTCTTAGCACCAGTAGCCAGGAAATTAAAAGATGTATTTCGATGGGAAAGTCTGTTGTTAGGGACCTCTCCAAAGTGCTGAAGAGCAATGGTGTCTCTTTGGAGACTAAGGTGCATCTGATACAGGCCATGGTCTTTGCTATTACTTGTTATGCATCAGAGAGTTGGACAGTTACTAGGGAGGATAGATGGGGAATTGATGCCTTTGAGCTGTGGTGCT